ACCAGGAATGAAAAAAACGGAACGTAGAACTTATCGAGTTCGCGTTACGAGCTTTCCATCGGACAGATCCTGACCAATCGTTTTATCGTGCAAATCCGCAACCGGCCAACTCGTGTTTCCACGACGGACGAATGGCGCGTGTCAGCACGTTGATAAATGCATCGGCGAACAGCTTGAACGCGCCGCTGAAAAATCGAAGGAAACTGGGATGACCGAGCAAGTAGCAAGTCGAGAGCGAAATAATTTGCTCGCCTTTGCCATCTCTTCGCAATGCAATCGCAATTTTCAATTCGTTTCAGCAGCCTCTCCGTGAGTTTCTCACCTCTCTACCGATCGTATAATTATCACGATAGAATTAGAAGTCTTCTACGTTTCCAAGATATCCTCCATTCATATTCGAAGGAAAAAATAGCGCGCGATATCGACCAAGCAGCGAGCAACATTTGAACTGTAACGATGACGTCGTTTCTGAATCAGTAACGATCGCCAGATGCCGAACAACTCGAGATTCGAAATCAACACTGTTCTCGAAATTCGTCGCTGAAAGCGGATTATACAGGGCAGGTGTACGATGGAACAATTATTCGAGCGATTCTGCGTGTGAACTGCAAGAGAATTTGAATGGAACATAAAAATGAAACGCACGGGCTAACGGAGGCCGAACGGTTGCGACTTAAGGGGGTGTCCTGAATTAGAATGTTCTAAAACAGCGTCTTTTTGTGATTTTTTTTAGAAGGGTAAGAAAGAAATGATGTTATTGAATTTTGAAGTATGGTTTATATGTATATTTAACGAATGCAAAAAAATTTGTTTTAAAGTAAAAGAGAATATTATAACAGATTTGTGAGCCTATTTCATGGGCTACAGTTTTCAACGAAACTAAAAACCAAAAAAGGATTAAATTATTATATATTTTTCTTCTCGATGAACTAAAAAAGTTCGTCAAAAAGTTTATTTAAATAATCGTTATAGTACCTTAAAGTTAGTTTCTCTTTTTAAAAAACTCATCTTGTCTTTAAACTCGACAAAATTTTTAATTTCACACTATTTTCTGCCTTTTTTTTCGTTCACCGAGGAGAACAATATATAATAATTTAATCCTCTTTTGGTTTTTCGTTTCAGTCAAGAATTACGAGATGGATCTTTCACGCCGATTGAAAACTGCAGCCCATGAAATAGGCTCGCAAATCTGTTATAATATTCTCTTTTACCATAAAAAAAATTTGTTTGTATTCGTTAAATATATATAAAACCATACCTCAAAATTCAATAACTTCATTTCCTTCTTTCCCTTCTAAAAAAAAATCACAAAAAGACGCTGTTTTAGAACATTCTAATTCAGGACATCCCTTTAAACGTCCCAAGACGTCTGACCGAAACTGGGACAAACTACTGCCTAAACAGACGGACTCTGCATTATGTCTCCGCTAATAAATCTGACTAACTAGACACGCTATATATATATATACGATGCAAGAATGACGACAGTTGCTGCAGATGTAGCATATTAATACAGAACAGGAGTGAAATCGTTCCTTCGTCTCCGTAGAAAAGCGTTGACAACTTGCTCGCCAAACTAAACTGTACTCGTAAGCGCATCGTCGTACAAACAATTAATTTAGCGTAATGGTCGCAAGCGTCCTAACTTGTCGCGGCTTACCGATGTACTAAATATGCCGATCAACGATGGAATTTTTTAATCCTACCATGAGAGATCGTCCGGGCGAATAGAACGAGTAGCGTGTGGAGTTGAACAGGAAAAAAAGAAAATGTTGTAAAACCAAGTATGGTACAGTGTGCTGCGAAAAACGACCCTAGAAGTAGATGAAAGAGGCTGGGCGACAACGAGAGCGTATACGATGGGGTGAGTGTTGTGAAGGATGAACGGTAGCTACATGATGAGAGGGTGTTTAAAGCGAGAGCCAAAGAAGAGAGGTTTGAAAGAGTATTAAGGAGCAGAACGTGTTAAGAGAGAAAAATTGTCACACGTATGTCTAACTGTTTAGAGAGAGAACTTAGTGAAATATCTTCCTGTAGCTGTGTATTCTGAAAATGTATAGCTTACGCGAGAGTAAAATTTCTCTATCTAATATTCTATCCTATCGTGCAATACTCGTAATGATAATCACGCGGTAGTATATCTCCAATAATGAAATCATTTTCGTTATCAGCGTTACTGCCAGCTAGCCTAATTGATCGCTGCGATTATTAACGACAACGAAGTTATAATTACCTTCAATCGTTTTAGAGCATTACCGCGCGCTATCTAACGACAAATATTTATTCAATGACGAAACGATCACGCAGAAAATATTGCAAATATTTTTTAAGCGCGTGCTATCGAAGCGCGTTGTAACCCTGCCTCGAAACTATCAACCGATTATGAACCGAGCGCGTTCGATATCAATTTTCCCAGCGAAGCTGAAATGTAATTAGCTCGTCAGGATGATTTACGAAACCGCGCACGATGCAGAAGCACGGGCACACTTTCCATCGGTATTTCCGTTTCTCCCATCGAGATTAATTCGCCGCGGCCCAGCCGTCAACGTTATTAGAATAAAAATCAACGGAACGGAAGGGAATTACGCAAAATCTTGGCGGTGCAGTTTGCAGAAGAAAATCTATAAACCGAACCAAGTATCCAAAAATGTATATCTTTTTTTTTTACTTGAAATTAATAAAGACGAACACGTGGAGGCTAATGAGAGTTTTCAAAATTTAATAAAAGGGACGTGCTCGTAATTGAAAGGCAACAGCTTCCAAAATTGAGTGGATATTTCAATATTTTCAAACTTCTCACCGCGAGAAATTTAATCACGAGATAAGTTTAATCTAAGTTTAGTCTTCGTGAAAGCGTGCACGAATATGCACACGCTTTCGCATTTTTCCACACAAGTAAAAGTGGCTGCTTCGCAAAAGTTAATTGAGGATAAACTATGGGAGGACGAACACTCGGGGAATTTGAGCTCGTAGGCGCGGACATGTACATTGTGAAAATGAAAAACCTTTCGCCGGTATTTTCTTCTCGCAGTTGAAACATATTTTCCTTCTAACTCGTCCCGCCCCTAATTTTCCCAGCAAATTTCCCTTTTTCCGACTCCTGCATCTCTCCGCAAGATACGCGAACACGTAAGTTGCGTATGGCAACAATTTTCACCTCTCGCGTTATTTTCCCTTCTCGCCGTTGAATTTCACACCTTCCTGAGCGTTCCTCGGCGACGACGCAGCGAGTACCGAAGCACGTGCTACCAAAACTGTCCCCGCGTCGTTTAGCCGTCAGAGTCACGCGATTAAAATACAACTGTGCAAATTAATTTTCGCTATTTTCTAATATCGACCAGCCAGCATATTTCTTTCCATTTCTTTGCGGCATGTTCGCGGAAAAATACAGCGTGGCAGGCCCCATAAATCACACCGACTTTCGGCACCAGACGACTATTCATAGTTGATCCGAGCGTGTGTAGGACCGTGCCTTTGTTGGCTGTGTAGCTCGCGTGATCTATAAATACATCGCATATAGGCACGAAACGTCGCGTCGCGTCGAAAAAACTTTCGCATTTCCACGCCGGCCGTGTTTTACGTCGGCCCATCTAACGGCCTTTTCCTCGCAAGAGCATCGTACGCGATTCGATACGCTCGAAGGGAAACAAATTCATTGGTTAGCCATGCGACAGGCTATTTCTTGGAACGCGCCCGGTGTCGCTTAACTACCTTCCAGCTCTCAGACCTGAATTGAATACTTTTTACGATATTTTTCCATTACGTATTCGTTGCTTATGAATGAATACGATGGTCATTCAAGATACATATGTGGTGGCACTCGACCACGGAACTTCGCAACGGCTTCGCGACACAAAGCTCTATACCTTTAAAGCGTAAGGTCGATATGCCTAATGGTACCATCGATATCCCTACGGTTTTTTCGCCGAATATTCGGAGGAATGCATGTGGCGGACATCTAATAAACGCGTGCGTAGTAGGGATATCGAAAAAAATCCGCTTGGTTTCGAACAAAAGATTCATTCTGCGCCGAGCTGCGAAGTGCGAAAGGTTTAGCGTCATAGCGAAGCAAACACAATTCAAGATACGTGATTCTTAACCACACCAGTCAAATTGACTGGTTTTACAATTTTATTTTAAAATTCCTACCTCGTGTTATATTTTTCCCCCGCAATGGTGTAATGACTTTCGCAACGATAACTAAAAGAATAATATAATGAATTTTATTTCGTTCTTTACGTATTCAAACTGAAAATAATTTTGTATCGAGGCTACTTGTACCAATACCAGTCGAAATGACTGGTACTTGTCAAAGTGTAGAAGAGTTCTGCAATCTGTTTATCGAAGGCCAATTAACCAGTTTTCTCGTTTTCTACAATTTGCCACACGTTTTTCAAATTTTTACCGCGTATCATTCGATACGACGATATCAGTTATCAGGAAAGTTCCGGATCGATCGCTAGATCGCTGGATGATAACACTAGAAATATCACACCAGTCAAAATGACTGGTTCTACAATTTTATAAATGTGTCAACCCTCGCTTAGGGACCATACTACGTAACATGGAATTGCTTCTGTAAGAAAGTAATAAATCAGTAATATTTATTACGTATTTTTTAAAAGATAAGTCATTTTGACTGGTTTTGGTAGAAATAACTTCGTGTTAACTATCGGTAGTTCTAGTGTTAACTCTTGATAGTTAATCGTTAATCGTTAATCGTTAATTGTTGATCGTAAATTGTTGATTGTTAATAGTTTAATAAACCTTTTTCGTTGAACGAGAGTATTTCTTGTGGACACTTCCACCAACCACCTCACATACAACCGATGTTTCTTCGACCAGTCGCGGAGAGACGCGATCGCGAGGAAGCGTGCCAACGGGAGTCGTAAATCCCCGTTACGATGAGACAATCGACGACACGATTTGATCGATCCCCTATTTCGATTAGGATAATAGAGGTAGTTTAATGAGTAGAATGCTTGATTAACAGTTCAAAGATATTAGGTCATCCCATAAGTTCGTGCCGTTTTTCGAGCGGTTATATATGTTATCTTTTTTAAACACCTATGAATCGTTGTCCTAGGTATTTTCAGAACATTTCGCATCTCTTGAACTGTCGAACTTCGTGATTTTTCAACAAGATCCCGAATTTTATCTTCGTCTGTCCGAGGAAGACGCCCCCAGCGTTCCTCGTCTTCTAAACAGACATTCCCAGCTCTAAAACGTTGGAACTACTTCCTACAGGTGCGAGATGAAAGCGCATTTTCTCCGTAAACAGCACATATGTTTTTCGTGGCAATTGTTACAGAACTTCCTTTCCGAAATTCATATAACACGAGATGTCGAAAATGGATAAATTCATATAACACGAGATGTCGAAAATGGATACGCATTTCACTCGTGATTTTTTACTGCTAGAAGTCACTCTGTTCGCTATATTACGATCTTATACCCACGAAAATCTGCTCTAGCCTGTTCTCGATCAGCTAAGCTCAGGTGCATTGGTCCCTTATCGCCGTATGTTTATAAATCGACACACGAAATGTATACACAAAAGTCGGCACGAACTTATGGGATGACCTAATATTATACAGGGTGGTTGGTAACTGGTGGTACAAGCGCAAAGGGGGCGATTCTACGCGAAAAAAGAAGTCGAAAATATAGAATAAACAGTTACCGACCATCCTGTATATTATATTACACAGTCGAAAATATAGAATAAAAATTTTTTTTAATTTCCCCATCGAGACAACGATCTACAGTAAGATCCGTTATAACGAGACGCGATAAAGTGCACGCGTATCGAGCGAAAATTCAAAGTCGATTTTCTCGAAAACAAAGCCTCGAACGAAAAATTGTTATTCTATATTTTCGACTTCTTTTTTCGCATAGAATCACCCCCTTTCCGCTTGTACCACCAGTTACCAACCACCCTGTATATTTCCAACAACTTTGTAGAGAAAATAGTTACGCTGGTGCGTAGATAGCAAAATAGGTGGCTGATCTAAGAGTGGAAACCTGGTAAAGAGATGTTGACTGTTCTAAAGATGATGAACCAGTGAAGTTCGGTGGCGATACTGTCGCAAAGGAAAACTATTATTCGATGGTGATCGCCCCACCACTGGAATCCCGGGAAAACCTACGTTTCCACAATTTTTACCTGATGCAGCAATAACCATAAGGAAGCTCTTGACTGGAAGATGTTTTATGCCAATTAACGGCCTTAACAGTAAATCAAAAAGCCTTTCTTAGGATTATTACGGTCCGCTTAATTCTATGTGCACAGCTGGTGGCCGCCTCGAACGTAGAGTCACCGACCTTGAGGTGTGTTACGACCGTTCGCGGAGAGACGCGGTCGCTAGGAAAACGCGTCAGCGAGAGGCGTAAATTCTCGCTACGATTCGGTTAATCGACGCCGCGAAATAGTCGTTCCCCTGTTTCGATTAAGATAACAGAGGTGGTTCAATGAATGTAACACTGTATAGTAAGTTATATATCACCGTTTATTCTAACAACTCGTAAAGAAGACAGTTACGCTGATGCGTACGTATAAGATGAATGAGTGACTGATCTACGGGTGTATTCCCGGTCAAAGGATGATGACTGTTCGGAGGATGGAAAATCAGTGCTGTTCGGAGACGATGCTATAGCGTAGGAAAGCTCAGGATGGGTGTGTCTAGCGCACGGGACCATCGGATTTGTTGGTGACGATTTCGGCTAAGAGAGTGAGGGAAATAGGCTTCGTTGTTGATTGGTTAAACGAAGGTTGGTGGACTAGGAAGGGTCTTAGCCGCCCTCGATAGAAAGTGGTTAGTAGGAGGAAAGTTGCATCGTACGTTAGAAAAACTAACTTTCCCCTGTCAAGTCGTAGTAGGCAACGGTCTTTAGAAATGATTCGGAAAACAGATGTTTGTTCGGTTTGAAGAACCTCGACTAGGAAATTCCTGAGATTTATGGAAGGTACTGGAGACTATTGAGGGTACGCAGTAAGTATCCGAAGACGTCTGGTTGCCATCTTGCCCGCGGTGTGTGACCTGGTCTAGGTAGAGTGTTACGCGACGTAACAAGGTGAAATATTCGATTCGATTAAGAGGGATATGGTGTAAGGCATAATTTCTATAACGAAGCTGGCGGCTTAAATAAATGTATTTGACTCGTCTGGAACGCGAACCTGGAAAATAGTCCGGGTATTGGTGAGTGTTCGACACGCGAGTAGAAAGAACAATGAAAGCAACGCTGCCTCGGCTTCTTCCATTATCATTTATTTCCCTTAACACCAATGTATCGGACGTGCTCGATCAAATTGACCGCAAGCCATTGATTCTTACTCCCTCCACCGGCTCTTCACCTATACAGGTATCGTGTTGGCAGATAATATCGAGAAAGCTCGTCGATCAAAGTTCCTACGACGAAGAACGACGGAGTTTCGTCGAAGGTGCGAAAACGGAACGCCGCGGTATAATATAAAACTAAGTAAGCTACGAGCGACAGATAAGAATCGCAGCAGATACCAAGTATGCAAATGTCGTTGGCGAAGGAAACACCAGCTAGAAAGATATTGCATCCGTTTAAACTGGCTACCATTTTTGATACCTCTTATCATCGATAAGGGTGAAACAAAGCCGAGAATCGTTCGATCCTTGAGATCATCTTCGGCCGCAAAGATGCTCCTCAGGCGAACAAAAGGCGGATCGTAATCGCCGATTTTACGTTCTCCGCCGATGGTCGTTTTCAGCAAATAACCTTCTCTTTCTCTTCGGACGCAACGCACGCCGATTTAACCAACGAGGCGATCGGCAGCTCTTCAACGATCGCGCTACCAGCGATTTTCTATTCGGCTACGTTCGTAGATATTCGGCGTCTCGTTGCCAAGATTCAATCGGAGTATCGAAATGGGACGTCTGGACAAAAATCTCTTGGATGGATTTCGCAGCTATGGGAACTAGGAAAATCTATTTTGCACAGGTGGGCGAAAATTTCCGATTTACGTCCGGCAAACATGTACTTGCCGCGATGTACGTGGATGTATCGTTCTGGAAGGTTAGAGAGGGGCAGAAGGTGGAGGATAAAGAGAGAAATCGGAGGGAATATCCGCGAAGAGTTTGTTCTATTATTTAAATCGCTACAAACAAGCGCACGAGAATTCTCGAGACAGGGAAAACAGTCCTCGCCGATTCTTTCGTCGAGATATAAATTCCTACGAGGAAATAAAGCTCGCTGGCCTTTCCTCGGCTCGAAAAAGCTTTTCTCGCGGAAATTTCAAGTTTATTTTCGCAAAGTAACCAACCGTGCGAATAAACCGCAAACTACCATCTTATGTTTACCAAGCCCCGATGATTCCACGATAAAGCTGTTCGAGTATTATTCAAAATAGTCGAAAACTCGACCATTAAAAGAGTTAGACTTATATTTCAACGGAATGATAGAAACCAATTAGACACACGTGCTATATTTCGTGATAACTGATACAACTATCGTCTGGGACAAGATCGCTGGAAATATTAATATCGTTCATTTTTCACGAGCAATACGAGCAATATACCAGATAGCAACGGGGAATTAAAGCACAGGCGATGTATCTGCGCTGCTAAAATACCTGCACCACGAAGATAAAATGTAAGAGGTTTCTCAAAGAAGCGATTAGAGTACCTGATCTTTAGTTCAAGAGCTTTTAGGTTCGAATCTCGTACGAGCTCTTTAATTCGTCTCTGGGAATTAATATTCTAACGTTCCTGGAAGGATCGATCGTCGATAAAAGAAAAGTGAAATTGTGAAAAATTCTTAGACGATTCTCAGCTAACTTTAATATCTGGTGAATCTGGTAAAAAAATATATGCTTTGTTTCTATAATCGAAAGTGACTATTAAATCGACCGTTTCTTGGACGAGCGAGTGGCATTTAAAATGTTCGACAAATTCTGCAAATGCAGATTGTTTCTCGCGATATTAGTCTGGACGCAATTGGTCCGTAAACGAAACATTAGTTGCACGTATCAATCGTATGGAACATCGAATTATGTACAGGCATTCGTGCAAGGGAGCAGCAATTCGCGATACCAGAAATGAACGAGCTATTCGGTGCGATCACAAGGCGGTAGTTAATTCGGTTAATTTAAGGAAGATTTATGGAAACCTGGCTGCGCGCAGGAAACAGAAGATCGACATCTGTTGCTAACGAATGACCGAATCGCTAACGAATGGCTCCGATACTCGATACACCTTCGTACAGGAGCAACTCGTCGATCGATGTTACGATCAATGAGTAGCCTGCTTTCCGTGTTAGATTCATAATGCATTTAACAAACGATGAACAAAACCTTCCTGGCTATTTTAAATATTAAATCCGTTGTCGTTAATGGCGTACGATACGCATCGAAGAAAATAGGTAAATTTCGACGTGTCAAAACGGATCGTAGTTATTAATTACAAACTTTGTTGTTAGTATGAGTTAGTTAGAGAAGTGTGTACGACCAAGTGGTTGGTATAATAACTAGTCGTGCAATTCTCTATAAAGTGGCATGGTTAATAATGCCACAAGCCATAAGAGACCTATTCCTTTATTAACGTCTACCTTGAATTCGTAGATTCGATCGATTTCCCTTTTTCTCTTAATTTTCCTATCGAGGGATTTGATCATTTTTCGAATAGCGAGACTTGTAGATAAGAAAGAAATACACGCTGGCACGGAATCGTTTGGAATAAATAACCCGTTTCGAAAGTCGAAAAATGAATTTAACTAGGGCAAATAATTCTGACCTTCTCGCCGATGAAGTATCCCGAATCCGACAAACTTGGCCACAAACTCTTGGCCGAGAACGACATAAACGCGCTGACAAAAGCAGAATTATTAGTCGCAGGAACGAGATACGGGTAGAGAAGGAACGAATTTAAGATATAACCAACGAAACGTAACAAAGCGGTACGTAACAGAGATAATAAAAGAAATTTTTGGCACAGCGTGACGTAGCAAATCCCAATCGAGTTGCCTGGGAATAGATTTAGTTGGCACGCGTAACGCCATGTAGAATGTGACCGTGGGCCGAACAGGAAGCAAAAACAGGGTCAGGCCAAGCG